TATATCATTTTCACTTACTTGTAATGAAGTAGGTGATTGTTATTGTTGTTCTCCTCTATGCCAGTTCGGACTCATGGAGACCCTATAGAAAACAAGGTTACCCGGCCCATTCCCGCGACATTCTCCCAATTGTCGCTTTCTTTGCGTGCATTGTTGAAGCTACTTTGTCAATCCTTCTCATTGAGGGTCCTCCTCATTTTTGTTGGTCCCTCAGGATCACATTTCAGAGGGGATGGACTCAGCGTCATATTTTGGCTCTTGTGGACTTGTTTTAATTTTCTCAGCTTTATCCTGAATATACATGTGAGTAGTTGATGGTATGTCCCACAATTAGCTGCTGGCTCAGTTTTCACTGCTTACATTGAACTTCTCCATTGTTTCTTCCCAAAGCAGTAGTCAATTGGATTTCTATATATTCCAGCTGGAGAAGTGCATGTAGCCTCCTTTTCTTTTGTCGGAGAAAAATGGTACATTTGCTATGAACAAGTTATTGGTCTTTCCAAACTCTATCATTCAGTCTCTAACTTCATGATCTATCCTACCTGGATTTCAAGAACATTTCAAGTACAGATTTGATTCATTGAACACTAATGATAGAAGAACCAATACCAGTGGAAGGATATCCAGATCATTAATCATCTTAATTGTAGAATAGCTAAAGCAAATGGAAGAAAGGATGAATTCAAAGAATTCAATAGAAAATTTCAAATGGGAGCTCAAGAAGATAAAGCCAAATATTATAATTAAATGTGGAATTACCTAGAATTAAAATACTGGAAGAGAAGAACACCTTTAGGATATCTTAAACTGAAAGAACCCAAGAAACAATTCAAACCTCCAGTTGCAATATTAAAAGATTCTACGGGCAAAATGTCGAAAGACAGGAAACATCAAAAGAAGATAGAGAGACTAGAGAGTCACTGTACCCAAAAGAACTGTCTATAATCCCCCATTTCAGGAGGAGGTCCCATATGAGCAAGAACCAATGGTACTCAAAGAAGAAGTTCAATTTGCACTGAAAGCATTAGCCAAAAATAAGGTTCCAGGTATTGATGGACTACCCATTGAAATGCTTCAATGAGCCGATGAAGCATTGGGAGCACTCATTCTTCTATGCCAGGAAATTTGGAAGACAACGACTTGGCCAACTGACTGGAAGACATCCATATTTGTACCCATTTCAAAGAAAAGTGACCCAACAAAATGCTCAAACTATAGAACAATATCATTGATATAACAAGCAAGCACAATTTTGCTGAAGATCATCCAACAACTATTACAGCAGTGCATTGACAGAATTGCCAGAGGTTCAGGGCTGATTCAGAAGAGGACATGGAACATGGGCTTTTATTGCTGACATCAGATGGATCTTGTCTGACCATAGAGAATACCAGAAAGATTTTTACTTGTGCTTTATTGAATATGTCAAGGCATTTGACTGTGTTGACCGTAGTAAATAATGGAAAACCTTGAGAAGAAAGGGAATTCCAGAACACCCAATTCTATTCAATCAGAACTTATACATGGGTCAAGAGGCAGTTGTGTGAACAGAACAGAGGAATACGTTGTTGTTTAAAATCAAGGAAAGTGTGCGTCCGGGTTGTATCCTCTCACCATACTTTTCAGTCTGTATGCTGAGCAAATCTCCAGAAAAGCTGACTTATGAAGGAGATTGTGACATCAGGATTGGAGGAAGGCTTGTTAACAACCGGCCATGAGTAGATGCTTTGCTTGCCAAAAGTGAGGCGGACTTGAAGCATTTGTTGATTAAGATGACAGCCCTCTGGATGGATTTCAACTTACTGTAAAGAAGACCAAAATCTTCCTAACTGTACCAATACTTTAGCACCATGATAAATGGAGAAAAGCTTGAAGTTTCCAAGGATTTTATCATGCTTAGATCCATAATCATTGCTCATGGAAGCAAGAGTCAAGAGATTAAAAGACGAGTTTCATTAAGTAAATCTGCTGCAGAAGGCCTGTTTATAATATTGAAAAGCAAGGATATAACTTTGAAGAATAACGTGCACCTGGCCCTAGCCATGGCACCCTCCATGGCCTCATGTGCATGGGAAAGTTGGACACTGAATCAGGAAGACTGAAGAAGAATCGATGCATTTGAATGGTGGTGCTGGAGAAGAAGATTGTAAGTACCATGAACTGCTCAAAGGACAAACAAATCTGCCTTGGAAGAATTAAGGCCAGAATACTCCTTAAAGACAAGGATGGCAAGACTTCATCTTACATACTTTGGGCATGTTGTCAGGAGAGAGCAGTCCCTGGAGAAGGACATCATGCTTGCTTGTTAAAGTGGAGGGGCGTGAACAGAGGGAAGGCCCTCAAGGAGATGGGTTAACACAATGGATGCCACAATCGGCTTGGGTGTGGGAACCATGTGATGTTTCTTTCTGCTGTACATAAGGTTGCTATGGGTCAGATCCTACTCCAACGTCCTGACAACAATGACTGATAACATGTCTGAAGTATGTGAGATGACCTTTCACCATCCTAGCATCCAAGAAGCATTCTCATTGTACTTCTTCGAAGACATGTTTATATGTTGTTTTGGCTGTCTATGGTATATTCAGTATTCTTCATGAACACTATAAATCAAAGGCATGAATTCTGCTACTCTCAATTTTCACATGCATACAAGGCAGCTGACAATACTGCCTTGTCACTTACTGCCATACAGCCATTCCAACTGATATCAACCCTAGAGCGCAGGGTCGTACTGCCTCTGTGGGTTTTCAAGACTATAAATCTTTAAGGGGATAGGAGGCCTCACCCAACACAGTAGTTGGTGGTTCTGAACTTTTGATATTGTGGTTAGCAGTTCAACTCATAACTCACTTGGAACCAAGGTTGGTTGGGTTAGGTGCACTTAGTCTAGGCGGGAGCATGTACATAGGTATAGGCAAGAGATAAAACTCACAATACATGAACCTGGGAACAGGAATGGGAATAGAGCTACCAAAAGGAATGGCACATAACCACACACCCCCAGCCAGGGAGAAGAACAGTAGGAACCAGAGGGGAAGGGAAACAGCAGTCAGTGTGAGATTTGAAAAATAATTAACAATCTACAATCTATCAGAGGGCCACGAGGGTTAGGGGAAGGGAGGAGGGAGGGATAAAAAGAGGAGCTGATCCCAAGGGCTTTGTGGAAAGTAAATGTCTAGAAAAGAATGATGGAATATATATACTAATATGTCAGATAAAATTGATGTATGGTTTGTAAAACAAGAGTTGTAAGAACCCCCAAGACAATGATTAAAATAAATAAATAAAGTAATGCCTTTATTCATTGACACTTTAAAGAGGTCATGTGCAGCAGATTTGACCAAATTCACTGAAACTACTGCCTTTGAGTCAATTTTGACTCCTATTGACCCTGTGAGACAGAGTAGACTTCTCCCCGTGTGCATTTTCAGGACTGTAACTCTTTACAAGAGTAGAAAGCCTCGTCCAGTGGTTCCCTACTGCTGACCTTTCCGTTAGCAGCCCACTTCATAAACTGATACACAATTTTAATGCTTGACCGCTAGTTCCATGAGTGTTATGGATCCAAGTAAAATGCCATCTTTGACAACGCTACTATATCCTTCATTTAATTTGCACAATCTTGTCTTTCCTTGAAATGATCTTTTGATTAAATTGAGAGTACACTTTTTGCATTAAGAAGAATGAAGCCCCATACTGGATAGTTCAACTCCAGGACACTTACACAGAAAGATCATCCGGGCTCCCCTGCTGCCAGGACTTGTCAAGTGAAAGGGGACACAATGCAAGTCTCCTGTGAGTGAAGATAGTGAGTCCCTTGTCGGGAAGCAGGGAGATGTGCTGCACGTCGACCTCAGTAAGTGAGCACCTGGGGACATGCTGACTCAGGCTGGAGCACGTTTTCTGTCCTGTAGGACAGTCACCTGGTCAAGGTCCACGGTGTGACGCTAGTTCTAATATGCCCCCATGTGAATAGAATCAGGCATAGAGTGGTCAAACATTAAATAGTGTCTAATGAGTGAGGGATCATTTGTGTTTATAATTATCTCAACATTTATTTTTCTTTTTGAAAGTAGCCTTCCTGTTTTATAACCCAGTAGCTGTATTATGTAAAATTTCAAATCCTCCCCTCTCTCCAAAAGGATATATTTTAGATTATTTAATATTCTGATACGTGCAACAAATAGTAAGCACTTTTATTCTTCGGAGTATATTCATTCTTCAGTTTATATTCAAATATTACTCATTCCTGTTTCAATGTTTACATTTAGTGTGATCAGTCTTATTATTAAAATGAAAATAATGACAAACTTTCATTGAGTACTTTATAAAGTGTTACCATCAGAGCATTGCCAAAAGTATAATTTTCAAAACAACTCTATTAAGTTGTATGGATAAATGCTTTGTAATTTTTTATAGTTACATGGTTAGCAGTAACATATAAACCCAAATGGTCTAAGCCAAGAATCTGTCCATAGGTTCATGAACATTTTCACATTGGTATGCAATTAAACTTTATGAAGTTCCTTGGTATAAATCTATGTTTTAACCCCGTTGAAAGAATGAATCAAATGACTATATTCATGATTCACTTAAACTGAACATATATACCCAAGATTTTCTCAAAGAACTTCACAAACTTTATGTTAATCAGTTTATTAGGGACCTTAGTTACTGAGTGAATCTCAGAATTACAGTAATGCATAAGACAAGAATGAAATATTTCTGTGTTTTCACAATCTATATTAGTGATATATAATGCAACACCAACCTATCCTTAATTCACATGTAGCTGCACAAGTTTTATTGGCCAGTATTTAATGTTTTTATATGAGTATTTATTACTTTCTTTTTTCCCCTCATCCAATTATGCTTAAGGGAAAATTTTTTTGATTTCATGTAATCACTTTAGAATTTGAGCTTATTTTAGATTTGATAGAAGCAAAGCATGTATGGAATATAAAACAAGTAATTGAAAGTTATATTAAAATTACAAAATGTTTAACCGAGGTACATTAAAAGGCTATCCATATGTTGTAAGTTTTTCATTTAGTTTTATTGAGCATAACTATGTTTTATGATTACAACTCTCTGTCCCCAATTGACTACTTTAGAAAAATAACTGTATAAAATAAAACTTTTTTTTAAAGTTACTGAAGCTCTTTTTTAAATTATATTTTATTTTCTGTTGACTTTAAAAAAAGGTTTAGAAGATTCAAGAATATATCATATATTAATTTAAATCTTAATCTTCTACATTTGCCTGGATATTTTACATGAATTATTTTGTTAAATAATGGATATGAAAAAGTTAGACTATGGGCTATACGCAATTAAAACTTGTATTGCTCTTTTTGTACATGCTGTGTGTGTAAGTGACCCCATGGGTCTCCCAAAGTGAGCTTTTAACATTCCTTAATTTTTACTGTGCGTCTGTCGCTGGCATCTAGCCTCCCACCCACACAGGCTGACTAAATGAAGTTCAAGCTAATGTAATGAAGCACATGAAGATGAAGTCATAAAATGGGTAGATAGTTACCTTAAAAATGGGTTTGCTAACATAGTTTTACTAGAAAATGTTTACATTTGCTCAGAAATCAAAGACAAATAGAGGAGGTGATTAGGGGAACCTAAAAGTAATTCGTTTCATGGTATTGCTTACGTATCTTTTTATGTTGTGTATTCCAGATGGGATTTATACAGATCAATGAGGACTTCATATTCATTGAGCCTCTCAATAACACAGTGGCCATAACAGGTCACCCACACCGTGTATCTAGGCAGAGAAGGTCCATGGAAGGAAAAGTCACAGAGAAGCCCGCTCCTCACAGACAATACTGTGGTGTTGTTTCAGGTAATGCCTTCTCCTAAAAGGACTTAACTAAGTACACAAAATGAGATGAATAATTCAAACATGTCTCCCTCTCTTTACCCATCTAATAGCTATCTGTCTTCTAATTCTGTCAGTCTTCTTGCTTATTACTTTTTGTGTGAACCCATTTTTGGTTAGTCACAACTAAATTTGTACATTTTAAATTTCATCTGAGTTACCTATGATGCACTAGATTACAATTATAAATCATCGTTATTTAGAAGTACTTCAGAGACAGAAACATAAAGCATGTTTTGTACCCTTCTTGGACTGAGAAGCACACCTCTTGGGATACTATTCTCTTCACTGGAATATAAATGGCATCGAGAGAATTCTAGATCTTCTGAAACTGAATACTGTGAGCTCCTAGTCTTATTTTAGTCCGCTGCTGTGAGAACATCATAGATATCTTTTTACTTTGACTAGAAGTGTCCCCTTCTTCTCTTCCCCTCCCATTGACCCATATTAATGCACATTAGAGGTTAAAGTTGGCAGAAGAATGGAAATAAAATGGGATTTATGCCTTTGATTTTTTCCCCTCATTATCACAGTTGCTTCAGTCTGGAAATTTCAGAGACCCATAAACATTCCCCACCATCAAACCCAATCTTCATCTCTAGTTGTCCACCAGATCTTCATGGGAATATAAGAAGGGCGACCCTTTTGTGCATTTTCTTACTCACTTTAGGCAGAGATCTGCATTTACTGATAAGAAAAGTAAAGAGAATTAATGATTTATATTACATTGTTTCCTAAAGAAACATTTTTTCTATCTATTTAAGATGTGAGAGCCCTGGTGGCAGAGTGGGTTATGCGTTTGGCTGCCAACTGCGAAGTCAGTAATTCGAAACCACCAGGCACTCTTGGGAGAAAGCGGACACTTTCTACTCCTGTAGAGTTACAGTCTTGCAAACACAGAGGGGTCGTTCTACCCTTCCTACGGAGTCGCAATAAGTCAGCATTGATTCAGTGGCAGTGAGATTCACAATAGTATTGTGAATATTTACTGATTTCAGAGAGAAATTAGAATATTAGGAAATATGACCATACTGAAGGGCTCCTGGTAAACTTAAATCTTTTAAAGTTAGACTTGCAGATTTAAAATGAAGTGCTAGTATAATTAATGTGAAATTAGAAATTCTAAAATGAGTATGACATTGGAAGTGGATTTAGGTACCTGAATTGTAACCATAGATAACACTTGCAGAGTCTGTAGGATGTTCAGATGGTCACTTGTCTAGAGTGTTTAGATTTTGGAAGAGCTATGTTCCTGTTTAGAACATACTTATCTTAAATGCATCTGTGCTTTCTATCTTTTTTTTATTTGCCTGTACATAATCTTCATAAGTGGTTAAGTGAATACATCTGTGGTGATTACATAATTTCATGTTACCTTGATATATAAAAGTGCAGGGGTAGAGTCTAGTCTGTCAATAAGGTCACAGCCTGATGGTACCTCCTTGTAGGAGTGGCCTTCTCATAAGGGGGACTCTGGGAATGTCCTCCGCCCCCTTCCCTTCACCTTCCTGCTGGCAAGCTCTGCTAGTACCACCAACATTGGATCCACAAGACTGCACCCACGGGCCTGTGATCTTCCTGTATTCTGCAGCATTGCATGTACTGCATGAATCTGAAGAGGAACATAAGGTCTAGTATTGGACTTACGGACTGGAGTTGGACTGGGCTTGGCAGGTTTCCTGATATACAAAGTTCTTGATATAAAGCTCTTTCTTACACATATATGAGTGTCACTGGATTTGTTTGTCTAGTCAATGCGGCCTAACACAATATCTCTTCGTTACATAATTCAGTGTATGATGTCAAGCCTCCTCATTATTCTAAGGGTGGTCAACAAAGGAGATAAAGACAGTTGAACAGGTCTTAGAATTATGTACAAGTGAAAATAAAAGAGCTATAATATTGTGGACTGATTAAAAACAACATGGATGTAGACATGGTCATGCTTGAGTTATCCTGAAAATCTGTGCTATCCAACATTCCAGGCATAGGAAATTCCAGCTGTTGGAACTGCTGATGACATAAAACAGGTTATGCGTTCCTTTATGCTTGGAGGAAGATTTCTAGAAAATTCCCAATTTTAACAGGCTAATAAAGCATGAATATAGTGTTTGTGTTTTTTAAAATATTGTTCATAACATTTTTGCTATGTGGTTTCTATTGGGCAGGATTAATTCATGCTAACTTACTAGGTTCCGTGACTGATGTAAGCATGCAAGGAGTGCTGAATTATCATCCACCTGCTTGATGGTTTTCTGTGCTCACCGACCTACAGATACTTTTTAATTGGCCTGAATTGTTTTCAATTTTTAAAAGGACAATCTCTGAAATAAACAATTCATTTACTCTTAACTGTAGTTCTTCTTTCCTCAGGCCAATGTATTGAAATATTAATAACATGGTTCTCATTTGGATAGTGCTGCAGAATTTTCTTTGCAAAATGGAATCATAATTTTGACTTTCCGCTATATAGTTTCATCATTGTTATGCCTTATGTATACATTTATGTATTGTGGCAACATATATTGATTAAGTGATTACCTTTACAAACAGGGGCCTATATAATTTAGGGTGACTTTGTTGTGGCCTTTAATAGGGAAAAAAAAGAGAGGAGAAAGCAACGTGAAGGTCGAGTGTGAGAAGTCTGGAGTTAGAGACCTAGGTAATCAGGTAGCATTCTTATTTCCATTGAACGTTAATTTTATCATTTGCACCATAAATGCTGTCAGATGTCTCCCTGGAATGTGGAAGTAAATGACATAGTTCCTATTCTCAAGATGTGAATAATTGATTATTTTAGACAAACTAGTAAATCAGCTATTACATTTTAGTGTGATAAGATCTGTGGCAAGAGACTGCATGCTAAAATCCTAGGAGCACAAGCGCCCTGGTGTAGTGGTATGCTTTGGACTGTGATCTGCATGGTCAGCAGTTCAAAGCTACTGGCAGCTCTGTGGGAGATGGGCTTTCTACTTCCCTTGAGATTCACAGTCTTGAAGACCCCCCAGGGTTGCTATGAGTCAGCATTGACTCGATGGCAGTGAGTTTTATTTTGTTTTTTAGGAGCGTGGAACTGAACTTCAATGGTCAAGTAAACTTTTCCTGGGTAGCAAGTTAGTATGTCAAGGTAATAACCATAACGGAATCAACCCACCTGGGTTCATATCCCAGTGCTACCGCTGATTAAGCAAATGTCCTTGGGCAACTTACATCGTCTCCCAAGGCCTTGGCCTACAATATACCAATTGGGGTCAATGACACCCACAGCTCAAAATTGTTGTCAGAATTGTATGTCAAATTATGTGTGCAAATGAAAAATGCATAGGGAAATTTGAGTGCATGTTGCTCAGTGGGGAAGAGCCTTACATGAAAACGGAACAACTTTTTCAAAGGTATAAAGATATAAGACAGTGTCAGGAAGAGGAGCTGGAGGCAAATGTCTATTGTCAACATGAGATGGAAAGGTGGTCCCCGAGTAGACAGTGAAAAAACTTGTGTTCTCTGCTAAGGATTTGATCCTACAAATCAAGGATCGTCCTTGGATAAGTTAAGAAGCAGGCACATGATGTTATAAATATGGGTTCCTTAACAGTTTAGTACAAACTTAAGATTACACATACTCTTAAGTATGTTTGAATGAGAAAGATTTATAGAATTGAGGAAAACTGTTCTATTAAAAGTCTGAGCAGAACATAGAGATAACCTCTATTCATAAGAGTTAACGTAACCAGACAACTGCTGAAATAACTCCCATCTGTCATCCGTAACTGCTGTGATGATTGGCAGTGTGTGTGGAAGATATTGTGGAGAGCACGGAGTAAGCATTGGTGAACACACTTCTAAAAATATCTTCTCTAACTGGAACCACAGTGTTGGTCTACTGTACTCTTTTATCCATACACATGGGTAGAAAATGATCTCTACATCTAGGGCATGAAAAATTAGCTCAGGATAGTTGAAGTGGACAATGAGTATGAAATGAAGCACATTAATAAAAGTATTCATATAATGTTTATGATTTTCACACACAAGGGCTAACTTCTATGACAGAGTCTACTGTAAAAGGAAGAATTTTTAAAATCCCGGAATCTTTCAAATGAAATATGCAAATAAAGAAAGTGGATTATTGTGAAGGCAGTTAGGTTTAAATTTAATACCGTATCATTTGAGCGCCCTTTTGGATCCATTTTAAATGTGTAATACATTCTGCTTTCTTTTCCATAGAAGTTAATATTTCTTTAACTTTGTTATGGTTTTTCATATTTCCCCCACGTTTTTCTGTATATGAAATCCACTGGGGAGACAGTAGAGAGACCAACTGGATTCATGGTTCCTTGGAGTATGGCAGGGGAGGTTGGGGAGATGGGGGTAGCTAATAATGGTGAGTGCAAGAGCAAAGAAAATGCCCTAAAATTGAGTGTGGTGATAACTGTACATCTCTTCTTAAAATTATTGAATTATATGATTTGTGAATTATAGGCCAATTGAACTGTTAAATATAAACAAACACAAAACCCTCACTGCCATCCAGTGGGTTCCAGCTCATAACAAGCCTGCAGGACAGGGTAGAACTGCCCTGGTCAGTTTCCAAGACTGTCTTTATCCAAAGGAGCAGCTAACAGTTTCAAACTGATGACCTTGTGGCTAGCAGCCCAACAAGTAACCACTATATCATCAGGACTCTGAGACAATAAAGAAAATATGTTTCTCTTTCTTTCTTATGCAATCTACCCTCTTGTTACTCATAATAAGCTCTCTTCCTTGCCTATTTACATCCTTTATCTCCTTGGTTTCTATTTATTTCTCCTTTTATTTTTCTTATAGTTGTATTTCTATGTCTTACATGACTTGCTCTCTTCCACGTGTGTTGTCGTTAGTTGCCGATGGATAGGCTTTGACTCATGGTAACTTTATATATAACAGAATGGACTTAGCTTCGTTCTACTCCATCTTCATAATTGTTG